TGGTATTTTCGACGTAGATAAAGGGGTTTCCACTCTAGAGTTTCAAGGGCTTCGGTAGCGGAGGAATGGCAAGGAAGATCAAGGATAAGTCTCGCAGCGTTATGTTGCAGAACTTGAAGGTGGTTCATTAGAGTGGAGTTGTTTTTATCTCCCCACACGATATCACTGTAGTCCAATAGAGGGAGAACAAGACTGTTGTAGAGGGTGAGTCTGGCTTGAATAGGGAGTAAGAATTTTATGCGGCGAATGAGACCAAGGCGTTGATTAAACTTCTTGCTGATGTTGTCGATATGTTCTGACCAGGTTAAGTTTTGTTGAATTGTAACTCTTAAGTATTTGAAGGAGTTAATTCTATCAAGTATGGAATCATTAACCGTGATGGAAACATTGTTAAATTTTGCAACTTTGCGAGAACTTCCGTAAATTATAAATTTACACTTGGAGACATTAAGTGTCAGAAGATTGTCGTTAAACCGTCTGCATAAGTGTTTTAGATCGGAATTTAACTTCATTTCAAGATCGCAAGCATTGTTTGAAGAAAGGTATATCACAGTGTCGTCAGCGTATAAGGATATTTCACAATGGTTGATACAATAAGGCAAATCATTAACAAAAATAAGGAATAGTAGTGGACCCAAAACACTACCTTGAGGAACTCCGACAGGAACGTGTTTGAAGGAGGAAACAGTGTTAGCCAGGGCGGTAAGTTGTTGATGTATGTCACAGAATACAGTTTCTGTAGTGACATACTTCGTGTTTTTTTTGTCTTAAAGTGTCTTATGTTTGTAATATTTTTGTACAATACCTTTTTGAAATTGTTGATACTGGTCTCATTGTAACTCAGTTATTCCTTCTCAAGAAAAATAAAAAAACAAAGCTGTGTGGGTGTGTTTTTGCTCTAGTTTTTACATTTACATGGTTCATGTACAATTAATGTACATTTAAATTAGCTTTGTTCAATGAATACAGGTGTGATTCAAATATCATTCCTGTCAGGTACTTGGGTCAAATAGACATAAGCATACCAAATCATGCTATGAACTGAAATACAAGTATAGGGTGTGTATTGTTTAATAAATATATTTTCCAGTTAACCCAGTAAGCTGCATTGTGCCCCAATGCACCCTACTTTACTAGTTTATTTCACTTCATCTAATGCCAGATGATTTTACTTATCGAGGGAGAGTGCTGCTGCTCATTGAGCTCTGATTGAGTTCACTGAGTGGCAGTACTTTCCCCTTGACGAGTGAAATTGTCTGGCATTAGACAGAGTAAAATAATCTTGCGTTCAATGAAGCAGCTACTTTTTCAAAAGCTCAACCAGGCTAAAGATTCTTAGATTTGAAAACCAAAGTGATAGTGAACTAGTTAGTTGAAACAAACAGAATTGTTTGATTTATTCACTTTCCACAACATTGACAATTAAAATTTAATTTGATACTTTTCCAGTATATTGACATTATATAGGTTCAGATTTGACTACCATTACCATTAAGGGACCATCAACCAATCAAATGCATTTGATATATTCGATCAACCATTATAATGAAAGTGTGAGTTTATTCATAAACTAATTATAAATCAACTTCCATGCAATGCTTCATGCAATCATCTAGTTATGCACCAGTCAATATAAATCCCTGCCCCCAACCGGGGAGGGGCGGGACGTTTAGCGGGGAAAGTGGTCAGTTTTGATTATAAATTTGTCCCCGATGATGGGAGACTTGGACGGTGGTTAACATATATATCCTGTGTTGCTGTTTCAGTTTTCTTGACAAGAAAAGTTTAAATACCACAACATAAATGAATTTGATTTTCTATTGCTGATCTATGATTATACAAAACTATTTTCCTGGGGTTGAGAGACATGCAGGGGACATTGATGTCCCTGGGGGTGGGGACAATTTCGCTCTTTTACTACCCCTCCAAGTCAAAATCCCTGCCGGGGGGTTTACATTGACTGGTGCATTAATTAAAGAAGTATCAGTGTCACATATGTAGTAAAAGCCAACTTGTCAGTAAAGGCCACAGAGCAAGATTGTATTTCAAAGACTGCCAGTGAGAAAAACAATTGATAGTCCTGAAATAGAGTATGCCAACAGTTAGTATATTGCAAATAACTATTCTATCAACAAGATAATGTGTGTTTTTACAAATGTTTTTTATATATCAATCCAATGGCATGTAACCTAAAATTCAGCAGTGTCTGTGTAATGAAATACACCCTTACTTCTCAATGGTCAAATTAACTATACTACATTGTGTATAATAATATATGGACTGGTTCAAAAATATATTGAATTTATATTAATAGTGAACTGGTGAACTATTGATGTAGAGAATATGCCAAGTATAGAATGGCACAAGGATTTTCATGTTATCAGCATGATTAATCGTGAGATTGTGCAAATAATCTGTGTAAATCTCTTAGAGATATCTTCAGTAGCTACATTTTGAGGTACAATGACTATGGTAAAGCTATTCAAGGCAAAAAAGCAATGGATCTGTCAACCTTGTTGTCAACAGTAAATTTAGCTAAGTTTATGATCCATTTATTGCCGTATTTTAGCTGAGAATTCATTTAAGACAATGCAATACGATAGACTTACCTTTGAATTTATCATATATTTTTTTTAAATGGTCACCAAAGCTCTAAAACTCAATTGGTATCGTTTTAACTTCCTCACTCCTTAATGTTTACATGTAAATTTGTCAAATTACACTTGTTTAGGGCACTGGAAACGAGACATGGCCAAGATGAGCGAGGCGACATGCGCGCGGGGACATCAACATCAAAGATTCCAACATCGAGTGAGACTTCTGGTCTTATTATTTATTTTGTGCCCACACAGTATGGTAAAACCAACAATCAACATTTAATTTGTATGACTTTTTCATATTAATAAATAATAATATGTATATATTTGTCGCTACAAGAAATAAAACAAACATTTGTATAATTGTATTTAGCTTTTAGTCTATTTCACACAGCCTTCTTCTATCTTCGTGAAATAATTCACCCCCTCCTGTCACGTCCCTGTTACTTTCTCACGCGATATTTGTACGGAATGTTTTGAAAGACTCGTGAGCAAAATTTTACAGGGTGATAAAATGGCGTATTTCTTATATTTTGTTTAGATTTTTTAGTTTCTTCCTGTTATAAAGGGTTAAATTTATTATTAGTGGAATGGAAATGGCTTGGATGGAAGAGTAACAAGGCTGAATTGTTAATAAGCGACATGGGATGACAAAATGTCGCCGAATTTGGACAAAGTTGTGGATTTACCTTGTCGATAGTTAAACAGGTATGATCTACTTGAAACTTGTTTAAAATGTTCTTGGTACCATTATGTCTGAGATGATTTACATTTCTTGTAGGATGTCGATGAGATCGACGATATACAGCGGAGTAAAGTGGAGAACTTGGCCAAATACGTCCATTTGCAGGAGGTAGGCACATTTCAAATTATTATTTCGGTCAGAAAATATTAACTATTTTACACCAAACCAGTGATAATATATTTAAATAAGTACCAATTATGTTTCTATCAAGAAGATTTAGGGAAAAAGGTAATGTAAGTCCACTGCTGTTTATCTGAAGTTGCAAGCCACAAATTGACGTTTAACTATGATTATTGCATGGTCATTTTCTTGTGAAATATTAGTGCTAGGCATTTCACACTTACCAATGACCACCCCCAAAAGTACCATCTCTGAACCATGTAAGCACCTCAGAATAGCCAAAGGCAAAACCAGTATTTATTTGGTGCCCTTTTTATAGGCACACAACTAAAATGAAACCAACAAAGGCAAGCATCACATCCAATGGAGTGGGTATCTTCTGATATTTCTATATTACAACACTGACATGGCCAAGAGTGAATTATCTTAATTTGATTGGATAAGTCTTGAAGCAGCAACCAGGCATCTTTCGAGAAATATTGCCGTAACCTTGCAATGTTGACATTTCCCCCAACCATTGCTGGATTAACTTTCTCCGGCGGTGTTTCAATAAGGTCTTCGTCAATGATATCGCCTTTCAGGGCTCGATTAACATCTCTTGGATCCAATAACCATCATAACAAAACTGCAATTAAGAAAAGAAACTGATGAATTAAACACTCCCTTCATTAAGGGACACTCACAGACGTTCTCCAGGTAGGGGGATTAAATCTGGTGTATTTAAAAAGACACCATAGTATACAGTAGAGTAACAATATCCATTTCAGAAGTTAATGTTGCAGGGCTGTCGGACATTAAATTACTGTCGGACATCGGACAATGTCTGACTAAATTTGGCAAATGCAGACTAAATTTGGCAAATGTCCAAGCAAAAGTAACTTTGATCAGACATTGGTCAGATCACAAAAAAATGGTCACATTATACATTTTTTGCTGTGACCAAATCAGATTGCAAATTCACTCAATTTGTATTTTGCAATAAAATTTACGAGGCATTCAAGCATTTTACTTAACGTTGCACCGGATTGGCTATACATACTTGTCTTGTGACTTATATATATATATCTTGTGATGTATAATATATATGTACAACCAAATTTAGTGGTGTTGGTTTTTGTCCGACCAAATTCAAGTTATGTCCGACCAAAATTAAAAGTGATCGGACAAATGTCCTGTCAAGTCAAATATTTATTTGCAGCCCTGTGTTGTAAAATGAACTTGTCAAATTTGCAAATATATAGGCCTACCTTTGTCTTTTTCTTGTGGCAATTTCTCCACATATGGAGTTGGTTTAATTTTGCCCTTTTCTGTGTCTTTTGTTTACACTTTTTTTCTGGGAAGACCAGTTGTAGTCAGTTCAGCCCCTTTTGGGCACCCACATTTTGGTATTCTTGCCGGGATCTTTATCTGATTCAGACCTAAAATAATTTTATTAGGAGGGAGTTACTCTAATTGAATAAATAATAATATTCGAATTGTTTACATTCGGCAAAGACAACTCAAAATTCTTGTTAGACTGTGAACTTTTCGCTTTATATTTAGCTTTGTGCATTTTCTATTGCCTTAGAAATTTCTGCTTCAATATCGTCCGATTCTTTACTCGATTCTAACTGTTTTTCAAGCTGACCGACAGTTATATAATACTGAGTTATTTTGTCTATAACTTCGTGTGTTTCTTCTAAATTTTCCCATAGTTGCTCTACTTTCGATTCAACCTCAGTTACTTCGACCGAATCAGTAATACATAGCTTTTCAATTTCGATTTGATGTTTAAGCCTTGTAAGTTTGGCTTTAAAGGCATGTTTCTGCCTTTTTAAAAGAACGATTTCCTCACCGTGCTCAGAACTTTCAATCTGTAGCGTTGTTGTTGGCTGTATATTTTCTAGCGACGCTTCACTGTTTTGTTCGTTTATAATTTCACTATTTTCTCTGGTTATTTCAGTTGTCATATTGTATCGATCACATTCGAATAACGGTACACTATACACGTCCTGGCAGGATTGCCAAATGTTCACGAGACTATAAAACTTTCGATTAAAGAACAACGAAAAACAGCTATAAAACTCAACTCTTTATTTTACAATCTCCATGCTCGAAATACACCAAAACACTGTCCTGGCTACGCCCCAGCCTAGACCTAGGCCTTCTATTTTTATTTATATTTTTTTAATATTCAGCGTTTTTTCACATGAAAAGACTGGGACTAGGTAATTTGGGGGCGGGGCGGAGGAAGGACACAAGCCTAACGCAAGCGAAAATGTAGAAGGCCTAGTGGATTTCCCAACAACAAGGCCAAAACTGCCCTGAAACTGCCCTGATTGCGAAATGCCCAATTGTTGCGTTCTCAAACAGAATTATTTGCAACTTAACAGCGAATTTAAACCGATACAGGTAAAATAAACTCATTTATAGTATAAACTTACTATTTTTATTTGTATACACGTCTAGAAAATCGGGTTTTTTATCATAAAGTTTGAAGCAACACTATTTATATATGTTGACAAGGTGTAGCGAAACGGCACAAAATAATAATTCTTTTATTCGCAAGACAATCTACTGTTTTGCTTTGAATAACTATATTTGCGAATTGGGAATGAGGATTTTGAAATTATTGTTCAAATATTACAGATATACCATTTGTATAAACAATGTACGTTTTTATATACAGTACTGTACGGGCTAATAATATATGTATCCGTTTTATTTTGTATATTTTACAAACACAAGACTGCTTCTTGCCAAAATTGAGAAAATATATATTAATGTACTTGTGTATAAGACAAAATTTCATGAAAGATTCTACTTTTGGTATATATTTTGACTCATTTTGTTCTTTCGCTACACCTTGTCAACATATTAAATAATAGACAGTGTTGCTTCAAACTTTATGATAAAACCCCCGATTTTCTAGACGTGTATACAAATAAAAATAGTAAGTTTATACTATAAATAAGTTTATTTTACCTGTATCGGTTTAAATTCGCCGTTAAGTTGCAAATAATTCTGTTCGAGAACGCAATAATTGGGCATTTCGCAACCAGGGCAGTTTCAGGGGAGTTTTGGCCTTGTTGTTGGGAAATCCACTAGGCCTTCTAGGCTTGCTTCCTTCGCCCCGCCCCCAAATCACCTAGTCCCAGTCTTTTCATGTGAAAAAGCACTGAATATTAAAAAATATAAATAAGACTAGAAGGCCTAGGTCTAGGCTGGCTACGCCCCTAATTTATGCTAAAATGTCTGTTTGCCTAATTTATGCAAACTGTCTGTTTGTTTCCCTAATAATTAATAACAAATTAATATATATACATATATATACATATATATTAATATATATACATATATAGTCACTTCTCCACATAGCATTTATTTTACGTTTTTTTGTATTCTATAATTTGTAAGCCTTAAAATATGAAACTTGTTTGCATCAAGCATATACCCCTGACCAATTCACACTTAATGAGCAAATCTGAACAACAGTTTGAACAACAAGGTTAAAGTAAATAAGATTTATTTTTCTGAAGAGGAGGAAAGATAATGTCCATATAATTTAGAATTAATACAGATTACAATTTACTTGCCTGGTTCTTCAAAATTGCCAAGATATTGTTTCAATGGCAATAACTCCATGAATGAGTGGCTGACTGCTTTCAGTTGAAATATTTTCCCAATTGTCATATTACAACACGGGCTTCACTAACGTCTTTTACTGGGAAAAACAATACAATACATTACAACTTTATTTGAATAATACACATGACAATACAACATTCAAATCCTGCAATAGCAAGCAATTGAATCTACTTAAATAATATCATACAACTGATTTATATTGAGAATAAGGTAAACTATTTACAGAACAAGATTTTAGATTACGATTGGCTATAATTTTTAAATGAAAAATATTATACATGACACAATTTTTTTTTAAAGTAATTAGAGAGTTGAAGATTATATTGTGGTTACATTAGGCAACATTTCAATTATCATGGGCACATCAACATAGTCATTTTGAATTTTAAATATGGTTAAAAAGATTTAGATTTAAAATATTTAAAAATCTGTTTACAAGATGAGGGAAGATTGGATTTCAAAGTCTGTTTACAAGATGAGGGAAGATTAAGATCAATGCTTTTCCAAATTAAAGTACCAACTCTAGAAAATGAACGCTTTTGTAATTCCAGACGAGAAGAATTATAATTTATAATAATTTTAATATTTATATAGCACAAAATAACATTGATATATGATCTAATGCGCTTTACAAATTTCAAAATATAATAAATGTACACTATAATGTATAAATATGGAATATACTAAAATATTAAAAATGTAAATATTAAAAATGTAAACAAGAAAAAGACAATCGTTCAATTTAAAAAGTAGCGTATGCTTCTGTAAACAAATGAGTTTTAAGTCGGTTCTTATAAGTATTAATGTTATTTTCCCTTGTGATATCAGATGGAAGTTCGTTCCATAAGGTTGGTGCTGCCACAACAAAAGTTCTATCTCCAGTTGTCTTCTTTGAGTTGAATGTTGGCGGAGCTAGTAGGAAACGACAGTCTGATCTGAGGTTGTGGGCGGACGCGTTTTTCATGTTAATAAGATCCTTAATATAGTCCGGTGCCAAGTCATGGATAGCCTTAAATGTTATCAGCAGTATTTTAAATTTAATTCGATATTCTATTGGCAGCCAGTGGAGTCGATACAGAATAGGAGTGATATGACAATAGCGTGGAGAATTAGTAATAAGTCTAGTGGCCATGTTCTGTACTCTTTGCAATTTCTTGGTCTGAGTTTTTGGAAGACCATAGAACAAAGAATTGCAATAATCAATCCGTCCAATCACCAGAGCATGCACCAAGATTTGAGCAGTATGATGTGTTAAATATTTCCTTATTCTTCTGATGTTATGAAGAAAATAATAAGCGGTCCTGCACGTTTTAGTAATATGTACATCAAACTTGAGATGAGAATCCAACCATACTCCAAGGTCTTTCACATTGCTAACAGGAGTAACACGCATGTCGCCAACCAATAACTGGTCAACTGTGACTTTCTTCAGCTGTTGACGAGTCCCAATAATCATGAATTCTGTTTTTCCTTCGTTCAATTTATCAGTTACCATCCATGCTCTTACGGCTTTGATACATTTCTCCATAGCTTCCATCGCGTCTTCTTGACATTGTGTGGTTTCAGGTTTGAACGCTAGATAAAGCTTGGTATCATCAGCATACGCATTTGGTAGGTGATGTTTTACCACTTCAAAGAGTTTGCTAGCATAAACGGTAAACAATAATGGGCCCAGACATGATCCCTGTGGAACAGTTCCGATGTACTTTCATCAATAATGACACGTATAGAGCGGCCAGATAGGTATGATTTTAACCACAGTAAAGCAGTGTCTGTTATACCAAAACTTGTTTGTATACGATTAATCAAAATATCATGGTCAATAGTATCAAATGCGGAGCTCAAATCCAGAAATACTAATAACGTTACCTGTTGATTGTTCATGTTAACGTGGATACCGTTTATAACTTTAAGGAGCGCCGTTTCTGTGCTATGGTGTTTCCTGTAAGCAGACTGTAGTGGGGGAAACACATTATTAGCCACAATATGGTTATAGATTTGATCAGACGCTGCTCTCTCGGTAATTTTGGAAACAAATTGCAGATTACTTATAGGTCTCAAGTTCTTGTATTCCATATCTTCGCATCCTTTCTGGAACAGCGGACTGACAAGAGCTTCTTTCCATGCATTTGGGAAATGACCTGTTGTTAATGACACATTAACCATTTTGGTGATAAAAGGGAGCAAAACATCCAGACAATCAATAATTAATGAAGTAGGCATTGGATCCGATTTACATGTTTTTTTTAGCTGATTTTCGAATCAGAGTAGAAACATCCTTCTCATCTAGTAATTGAAAAGATTCCATGACCTGTATTTCATCGTCTATCTGCGGATTAGTTGGAACCAGTGCTCTATCTATCTCATCAACGTCAGTTTCAGCACGAACCTTGATAATCTTATGAACAAAAAATTTACCAACGTCATTCACAAGAATGTTTCTGTCCATTTGTTTAGGAAAAGACACATTGTTATTCTTTAATGCAAGTAGTTTATTGGCTGCTCTAAATAGGTTCGTTTGGTTACTACTATTTTCGTTCACAAATTCGGTATAAAAATCCCGTCTAGCTTTATTTATAAGATGGGTAACATAATTCTTTAATCTTTTGAACATTGCAAGATCTTCTGCTCGACGTGATTTCCGCCATTTCCTTTCAGCTTTTCTATGTTTTTCCTTGCATCATCAATCTCGTTATTATACCAAGGCATGGTAGGTCTTACAGCTTTAGTAGTGGACTTTAAAGGAGCATGATCATTCAAGAGCGCTGATAGCGTTTTATTGTACACATGTGCTAAGGCATCCATATCCGTAATAGTATCATCGGTATTTTCTGAAGTCAGATTCAGTGCAGATTCTTTAATATTATTTTTAAGACGATGAATGTCAATAGTTTTTACTTTACGATAATAGATATTCTTTACTGAAAACTGCGTTCTAGGTGAAATCAGTTGACATATAATGCAAGCATGGTCAGATATGAATCGTTGGCTAAAAGTTCTTCAGAGGTACGGGTAATAATAAGATCTAATATGTTGCCATGAAGATGTGTAGAATTTGTAACATGTTGCTGAAGATTAAATGTTTCCAGTAGATCTAAAAACTTCAAAGCATCAATATTTTGATTATCATTTATATGAAAGTTGAAATCCCCAGTAATCAGCAATTGTTCCTTAAAAAGTAGAAATGATTCTAGGTAGTCTGAAAATTCTGTGAAGAAAACACCTGTTGGGATTTGGTGGTTCACAGAATAAGGGGGTCTGTATACAATTATCACGCGAATGTTATGAGATTGCGAAGATACCAGCCATTCCGAGAACTCAAAAGAGTCTTTTCAACCAGCATCAGCCCTCTTGATAGGGAAATCTGAAATTTTGTAACCTTCTGGGCATACTTCAGCTTTGACTGCAGAATCATTTGTTGTAAGCCACGTTTTAGTAATAGCAACAATGTCTGGTTTAGTGTCACAAATTAATTCGAAAGTATCTGACGTTTTAGACCTAACTGATTGTGCATTAAAAGAACAAAATTGCAGTTGTTGATTATTGCAATTATTTCGATTCCTTTTGGAACAAGGAACAGTGATCAGGTTATTAACATTTCTTGATGAAGCATTTCTAGACACGTAACCTGGTTGATTGTTATCAACATTAAATTGATGTGTTTGCGCCATTACTTTTGTGTTGTTTGGTTGCGGGTTTTGTCAAATTGTTTTTGTGAAACCCAGTTTCTGCAGCGCACATATTTTGGCCAGAAGTCCTTATCAAGTACTTTAGCAGAATCTTTGTCTCTTACATTAAGTTTTGCTGAAAGTGTACCCTTTTGTTTACTTGTAAACACGCGTAGTAGTGTTGGAATGATTTGACGGTCCTGAAGGTAGTTTAAAATCTGTTTAGAGCTCACTTTCTCGTTAATCCCACTTAAAAAGAAACGCTGTGTCTTTATCCTAGAACGCTTTACTCCCACAAACTCTACATCCGTTTCATCACTTACTTCCATAACTTGCTCAATATTAGTCGCGTTGTCTCTACTTATAATTGAACTACTATGATTATTCGTACTACGACTTGCTACAACACAGGTAGCGGGGTTCTCCATGGGTTTTTCTAACACGTCATTGACAGCAACAACAGCAACAACTTCGTTCTCACTTTCCGTGGATTTGTTGCTAGAGGGCTTATGTTTAGCCTTTGGGTCATTAGTTTTCTTTGTTTTCTTTGCAACACGGCTAGCATATGTAGTATCTTCACTAACATGATTACTGATTTCATTCTCAACTAACTCCTGTGAATAATTATTAGGCATTGTAGCATGACCTTGTATGCAAATTTGGAACAACTTCGTGTTTTCGTTTTTTAAATTAGCTATTTCTTTGGATTGAGACTGTACAACAGAACTCAAACCATTAACCCTTCCTTGAAGCTCGATAATTTCAGCTTTTGACTGTTCCCGAAACAGCAAAAAGCTCGACTGAAGCGAAGCTAACTGATTCCGCATATCAGTTAAACCCTAAGGCGGTGTAAACATTGCAGGGCTGTTGGTCGTAGGGCTTATGTTTAGCCTTTGGGTCATTAGTTTTCTTTGTTTTCTTTGCAACACGGCTAGCATATGTAGTATCTTCACTAACATGATTACTGATTTCATTCTCAACTAACTCCTGTGAATAATTATTAGGCATTGTAGCATGACCTTGTATGCAAATTTGGAACAACTTCGTGTTTTCGTTTTTTAAATTAGCTATTTCTTTGGATTGAGACTGTACAACAGAACTCAAACCATTAACCCTTCCTTGAAGCTCGATAATTTCAGCTTTTGACTGTTCCCGAAACAGCAAAAAGGTTGACTGAAGCAAAGCTAACTGATTCCGCATATCAGTTAAACCCTAAGGCGGTGTAAACATTGCAGGGCTGTTGGTCGTAGTTAATGACCGGTCAATGCTACGTGTTAGTTGACTAGTGAAAGCAGGGCTGTCATTGTTAACAGAAGCTAGATTCGCCACAACCCGACTACAATCACTCTTAAACATATCTCTTAGTTCGTTAGTTACAGTTCCAGAGTCAAGGAAATTGGAAATTTCACAGATATCGCTAGCCAAGCGTTCTTCCAGTGTTACATATACACTGCCTCCCTTCAGCTTTCTTCTTATATAATATTCTCCCTTTGGAAAGTTTTTACGTTGCCTGCCGTCGTTAACAAGTTTCATGTTGAATTGAGTGAGACTATCAACATTACCATAACTTGCCAATTCTTTGACAACTTCTGATCTTGGTCTATCACCAAGTTTGGCAATCACAGCTTCAATTCCCTCAGACATAACAAATAGAGTTCATATAAGAGTCATATAAGAATCAAAATGTCTTCTAGACGACTTTAGACGTTAAAAGCAGAGTGAATTAAGTTTGTTTCTTTATAAAACACTAAAATTGTGTTCAAATGTGCACAAATTTGGCACAAAAGTTATCTTTTGCAACCATTCTTGTATCATGATATTCAGACGTTTTGGTGAATAATTTCTGCAGGGCTTCAGGCGCATCCCCTTTTAATATATCGTATAGCATGTAAGCGGATCCTTTAACATAGATCATAGTTACAGGAAGAGTGTAGGTAGCAAGAAATTGAGGAATTGTGTGATCTTAAAATGATTTAAAATTCATGAGTCGTAATGCACGCTTTTGTAAAACAAGCAGTTGTTGAATATGAACTTTAGCAGCATTTCCCCAAGGCCTACTCTGGGTCCAAAAGTCGTCTTAAATCGCCCAAACACAGTAAGTTGCACTACCACACCTTATGTTTGATTAAAATTTTAATGAACACTTGGTACTTGTCCTTCATTACTGCAACATGTATTATTAGGTAGAGCATTTATACAAAGTGATTTAGAATGAGCTAGTGTTCCAGGAATGGCATACAAAACCAATGATAATGTGAAAAATGTTATGAAGCACATCCCAGCTGGCCAGCCCCATGTGGTGCTAAACTTTTTCCAACAAAAACTCATTCACATCGGTTTGGAATATATAGATTGCATTAATGATATATTGGTGGGTTTGCTATCAAATATTACAATTGATATATGCAATATAAGTAAATCAAGTTTCTATAAAATAGTAAAATCAAGTCAAGTCCATATGTAAACAAACCGACTGATACGTTTTTGTTTACATTTTGAACACACTATATTTATAAAATTTGATGTGCTTTATAGTTCATTGTTCTGGTTTGGCATGCTTTTAAATGGATACAGATTAGGGTTTCAGTTTAGGATATTAAAACAAGTGAAATATTAATGTTAAGATACTCAGTTATACATTTTTAGTAACATATTTAGCATATTTAAAACATAATAAACATTTATCAAGCAAGTTCTTCCATCATTGCTTCAGTAAATTCATATTCAGTAAAAGGTACATCATACCTGATGAAACAAATATATTTGCCACCGATTCAGAAAAATAGACCATAATGTTTAAGAGGCCGTCTCTGTAAGAACCGACCACTGATTTTTTTTTCGAAAATCAACCTTGCCTCTAACTTTTCTTATTTATTAGACTTAACAAGCATACTACAAAATCACATTCAGAATTTTTCATCTCATGTTATTTCCCGAGATTTTTAAACTTTTGTTCCTTAGGGCTATAATTGGGATCTCAACGCTTTGGCTAACGTAAATATACCACATCTGTATCCCTCAAATGCACAGATGCACGGCCCGCTTTCCAATTTTTATATTTATAATGTGAAAGTTAAGGTCTTTGCTCGAACACATCAAGCATCTACACATTTCAAACCCTTTTAAAACGTCTTTTTACACGAGCGTGCTTCAAGGTACTTTTTCAACATGGGTTAGGTCCTCAAAATTACATGTTTTTACGATCGGATTTTGCAAAAGTGGCACTACCCACAAACTTCTACTTAACTATTTTTTAAAATACTAATTGTAAATTATAATTCCATCAAAACAAAAATTGGGGGATTTTTTTCCAAACTATTTTAATCGAGACGTGAAATTTACAATTCTTTGGTGCTCACTGGAAATGACGCTGACAACCCATTCATTAAAAGTTCGCGGATGGTTTACAAATTCAACACATGCTATAAGTTTTGAACATAAAAATACTGCTTGAGTTGCATATATCTTATGTAGACCTCCTGTATGTTTCAAGCAGCCGCACAAACATTGTTTCAACAGTCGCACCACGCAGGTAATAACGTAATGTAAACAAATGTGTCTATATAATTATTCGCATGTCGCGAAACCCCGCTGCGAGTGAAATATCGTGCATTATAACACCAAAAAATGCTAAATAAGATCTTGTTAAAACATAAGTGAATCATATTGTAGTTATATACCACAAAGGTTATCAAATTAAGATAAAAAATCAATCAAAAATACAAAATATTCGTCCATCTATATTTAGGACACTCTGAGTACGAGATTGTAAACAAACAGTGACCCATTGCATTATATACTAAATTTTTATCTAGACAAGAGGAAGGATATCTTTTACCGGCACAGCTAGAAAGAGCATAATAAAATTAGTATAATTGCAAAGTTTGGTCGCGAAATGTTGTAAAATATCGAAAATAAAGGCTCGCGAAATTTGAAAAATTTGTCACAAAGGCTATAGTTTTGTATTTATATGCGGCCAAATTGATACCGTTTTGAGAACAGGGTATCGATTTTCACTGTGTAATAAATATACAAAATTTGCAGTTATACTAATTTTATGATGTTCTTTCCAGCTGTCTATATCCAATTTTGCAATGGATCCATCTATATCTAAATAAGGGAAGCCTCACATATCGATTTTTTCCACGAGAAACGTCATATGTTCATTTGGGGGTGGGGGGGGGGGTTGGCAGCTGTGACGTTTCTCTGTATAACATCATGGAAAAAATCGATAGTTTTTGTCTTTGCAGAATATAAAAAAGAAAACAATTTGATGCAAACAGCAGTCTATATATTCGTAATACCATACCTGTTCTATACCTATAGCTACATTTATATTATTACGCCTTCCTTGCATTGAAAACACTCAAATTTCAAGAAATACGTGCTAAAATTATCAATATTTTATGCAAAAAAAGTTGTTTTGAGAAACGTTGGAAATTTTGAAGTTCACATATATATTAATAAAAAAGAGTATGTCAGCAGACGACATATTCCTCGCGGAAGCATCGCCAAAATCTTATTTAGATATAGATGGATCCATTGCGAAATTGGATATAGACAGCTGGAAAGAACATCATAAAATTAGTATAACTTCAAATTTTGTATATTTATTACGCGGCGAAAATCGATACCCTGTTCTCAAAACGGTATCAATTTGGCCACACATAAATACAAAACTATAGCCTTTATGACAAATTTTTCAAACTTTGTGAGCCTTTATTTTCGATATTTTACAACATTTCGCGACCAAACTTTGCAATTATACTAATTTTATTATGCTCTTTCTAGCTATGCCGGTAAAAGATATCCTTCCTCTTGTCTAGATAAAAATTTAGTATATTATGCAATGGGTCACTGTTTATAGACGGATGAATATTTTGTATTTTTGATTGATTTTTTATCTTAATTTGATAAACTTTGTGGTGTATAACTACAATATGATTCACTTTAGCATGTGTTGAATTTGTAAACTATCCGCGAGCTTTTAATGAATGGGTTGTCAGCGTCATTTCCAGTGAGCACCAAACAATTGTAAATTTCACGCATCGTTAAAATAGTTTGGAAAAAAATCCCCCAATTTTTGTTTTGATGGATTATAATTTACAATTAGTATTTTTAAAAATATTTAAGTAGAAGTTTGTGGGTAGTGCCACTTTTGCAAAATCCGATCGTAAAAACATGTAATTTTGAGGACCTAACCCATGTTGAAAAAGTACCTTGAAGCACGCTCGTGCAAAAAGACGTTTTAACTCTTTCTCGACAACCTGTCTCGTATTACATTTCGAATTCAATTTTTCTAATATAAATATCTCGGCGAGTATTTACCCCCCTTTTAAATAAATGCCACCATTGAAATCCTCACAATATAACCTTTCAAACGGGGGATCAAGTGCCGTCAAAACATTACACAAACCGAAACAATCATATATTTTATACTCACTGCTTCGCCAAACATTCAAAGGAGAAAATGAGAAAAAGTTGAATATATTCTAAACTTTGGTGTCATTTCCTGAAAGGATATGTGTAAAATACTCTTTGTATTCAAGCGCTTTCGTGTAGAAAGTTTCGTATGTATACGCCGACTAGAAATATTTATTTTGAATTTTTAAAGTATCGGGTTTTACTCGCACACGCTTGTATTATGTAATACTTGGCCAATAAGGAGCTCCCTTTAGCCGGGATGACGTGTATGGGTGCACTCACGCGTATGGGTGCACTTTGACCTGTAGAATCCATTTCTGGCATTTCCAGAGTCACGCGATGCAAGCGTAGCATTGTTTTGACGGTTTTTCGTCGTATTTCCGGTTGGGATTAACGCATATTCGGAGCAGAAATACAAAATTCGGCACTAAATGTCGAATTTTAAAGATAGAAGCTTGAAAATAACACTATACGTGTTATTTTCAACTTCTAAATCCACCAAGACGATCAGAATGAGCATACGTCTCAATGGAAGGAAGTTATATTCGGCGAAAGGTATGTTTATGTTTATAATTTGTCAGTAATATTGCGTAATTTGACCATATACGAGCTCGTTTGACTTTCAAAGCTCATAAATCGCTATAATGTTGCCATTCACTAAATCTATCGATAGGAATGAGTAGCTATCGTTACACTGAATCGAATGGTGGTATTTTGGTCCACGTAGCATTTACCGAACTGAAGATATGAACCGCAAAAATGAGTAAATCATGAGTGATTTGTTTAATAGGAACCTGTCGGGAAAGAGTTAAAAGGGTTTGAAATATGTAGATGCTTGATATGTTCGAGCAAAGACCTTAACTTTCACATTATAAACATAAAAATTGGAAAGCGGGCTGTGCGTCTGTGCATTTGAGGGATACAGATGTGGTATTTTTACGTTAGCCAAAGCGTTGAGATCCCAATTATAACCCTAAGGAACAAAAGTTTAAAAATCTCGGGAAATAACATGAGATGAAAAATTCTGAATGTGATTTTGTAGTATGCTTGTTAAGTCTAATAAATAAGAAAAGTTAGAGGCAAGGTTGATTTTCGAAAAAAAAATCAGTGGTCGGTTCTTACGGAGACGGCCTCTTAATGTGTTTAATACATTTTTGCACACCAACCTATTTGCCGCTATTTTTAATATGTATTTCACTCTTCGGCCTACACGCCTGTGG